TGGATCAGGTTTTAGTCCAGCTGGTGAAATTGTATGCCCCAGAAAGAAGAGTTCTGTTTGTCTAAATTTGCATTTAGACAAATTGAGCTTGAGGCCTGCTGTGCTGATGCAGTTTAGTACAGACTGCAGGTTATTGTCATGCTCCTCAGAAGTCTTTCCAAACACAATAATATCATCCAGATAGCACTGAACTCCATGTTGATTCTTCAGAATCAATTACATCATTTTTTGGAAGGCAGTTGGGGCAGATGCAAGACTGTATGGAACATGTTTAAGTCATGCTCCTCAGAAGTATTTCCAAACACGATAATATCATCCAGATAGCACTGAACTCCATGCTGATTCTTCAGAATCAATTACATCATTTTTTGGAAGGCAGTTGGGGCAGATGCAAGACTGTATGGAACATGTTTAAAAGAAATAGTCTCTCATGTGTAATAAATGCTGTGAGATCTCTGCTATCTTCATGCAACATAACCTGGTGGAATGCGCTCTGCAAATCAAGAGTAGAAAACATCTTTTCTTCACGGAGTTCTGCAAATACTTCTATGTGAGGCAGAGGGTGGCTGTCAAGCACAATAGCTTTATTTGACTCCCTTAAGTTTACACAGATGAATGCCTCCATCCTTTTTCTGTGTCACTACTATAGGTGAAACCCATTCCGAAGAGTCAATCTCTTCAATAATATCCTTTTGTACAAGTTTTTTAAGTTCTTCTGAAACAGCTTCCCTGACGGAAAATGGTAAGCACCGTAACTTCTGTCATACAGGCATCACATTATGTTGCATTTTAATTTGGGCATAAATAACTTTATGCACAAACCCATAAGCACAGCCAAGTTTCTCCTCAACCTGGTCTTGGGTCCCAGCTGAAACTGGTATGTGTACTGCAAGAGTGCTTTGCTGAGGAAGATCAATTCATCCATTAACTACCCTGAGGTTTAAAGCAGCCTATAAATCTCTGCCAAGGATAGGAGTGCCTTTGTGGACAATGTAGAACTCTGCAGTTACACAGCAATCACCAAAAGTCACTGTTGCTGGCAGGCAGCCATATATTAGAATTTGGTTTTTCAAATAGCGTTCAGTAAGAGGCACATCTTTAAAGTAATGCAGATAGATGAAATCAAGTAGTATAGATACTACGGAGCCAGTGTCCAACATTAGCTGAATAGGATGTGATTTGCCTAAAGATGTGGCAGAAACATTTACAGTACAACTTATCTGTTCTGGAATATGTGCAGTAGTGATTTTGTCCACACTCAGCACAGTCATAGAATCATAGAACTGGAAGAGACCTCAGAAGGTCATCAAGTCCAGCCCCCTGCTCTAGGCAGGTCCAGTTCCAACTAAATCAACCCAGCCAGGGCTTTGTCAAGCCAAGACTTAAACACCTCTAGGGATGGAGACTCCACTACTTCCCTAGGTAACCCATTCCAGTGCTTCACCACCCTCGTAGTGAAATAGTTTTTCCTAATAGCCAACCTGGACCTCTACCACCACAACTTGAGACCATTGCTCCTTGTTCTGCCATCTGTCACTACTGAGAACAGCCTCTCTCCATCCTCTTTGGAACCTCCCTTCAGGAAGTTGAAGACTGCTATCAAATCCCCCCTCACTCTTCGCTTCTGAAGACTAAGTCCCTCAGCCTCTCTTCATAAGTCATATGCTCCAGCCCCCTAATCATTTTGGTTGCCCTCCGCTGGACCCTCTCCAATGCGTCCACATCCTTTTTGTAGTGGGGGCCCCAGAACTGGACACAATACTCCAGATGTGGCCTCACCACATCTGGTATTGTAACTGCATGAACCTGTTGATTGGATTGGCTCCTGCGGCACACCTTAGCAAAATGCTCAATCTTTTTGCAGTGATTGCACTGAGCTACTTTTGCAGGACATCTTGTGTAGCTTGCAAGGTTTTGTGGGGATCCACAGTGAAAGCATGCTTTTGCTGTGCTTTGAATTTGCTGATTCTGTGTTCTTTTTATTAGTTTGCTCTTTGTAATTGTTTGTCTGCAGTGATAGTGGACTTTGCTGCAAAGGAATCACAGCCTGGAGTGGGCCTCCTGTATCCATGCTCATTACTTTGGCTTCTGCTATAGCTGACTCAATCTGGGTAGTAATGGTTATTGCTTTTTCCAGTATAAGTTGTGGTTCTAGAAGCAAGCGTTCTCTTACACATGGTTGTTTTCTCTAATCATCTCATCTGCCATATTCCTAAAGTCACAAGTTACAATCAGACTCCTCAGAGAAGCACTATATTGCATTATAGTCTCCCCTGGTTTCTGCTGGCGAACTCTGTAGCGATTAGCTACCACATTCACTTTTGGCACAAAAAAGTTCTTTAATGCAGTGAGTGCAGTCTCATATTTATCATCTGCAAGGGGAAAAGTGTAAAATATACACTGCCCTTCTGCTCCAAGGTAGTGGCTTAATAGAGCACATTTTCTTACTTCAGAAATCTCTGTAGCACTGATTGCAAGCAGATAAATCAAAATAGGGATCCAGGCAGTAAAAGCTATTGGAGGCTCACCTAGGCTTTGCAGAAAGGGTGCAGAAGATCCATCCTTGTCGTCAAAATGTTGCATCATGAAAGCAAGATATTAACAAACTTCAACAGGACTTTATTTACCAAAAGTGAAACCTCTTTACAAAGCTGCTGCACCCCTCTGTAGTTCTCACTCAGCCCTGGCTAATCTTCTCCCCCTTCCTTCCTGTTTCCTGTGCTTCCAGACTCCCAACAGCCAGTGCTCCCAGTTCTAATAATTACAAGCAGCATCTAAAACACCACAGCTACACAGCGTGGCTACGTCTAGACTGGCATGATTTTCTGGAAATGCTTATAATGGAAAAGTTTTCCGTTAAAAGCATTTTTGGAACAGAGCGTCTAAATTGGCACGGACGCTTTTCCACAAAAGCACTTTTTGCGGAAAAGCGTCTGTGCCAATCTAGACGCGCTTTTCCGCAAAAAAGCCCCAATCGCCATTTTCGCGATCAGGGCTTTTTTGCGGAAAACAAATCTGAGCTGTCTACACTGGCCCTTTTGCACAAAAGTTTTGCACAAAAGGACTTTTGCCCGAACGGGAGCAGCATAGTATTTCCGCTGACAATCTTACATGAGATCGTCAGTGCTTTTGCGGAAATTCAAGCGGCCAGTGTAGACAGCTGGCAAGTTTTTCCGGAAAAGCGGCTGATTTTCTGGAAAAACTGGCGAGTCTAGACACAGCCCATGCTTATTTCAAAATAAGCTATTTCAGACATTTTTTTTTACAGTACAGGGAAACCTCAAAATTAGTCCGAGGCAGGTTCCCATTGGGTGTGTCAACACTGCACCCTTAGTTTGAAATAAGCTACGCAATTTGAGCTACAGAAATTGCATAGCTTATTTTGAGTTAATTTCAAAATAGTTTATTTCATAATCTGATGTGGTCTACACGGCGCTAAATTTTGAAATAAACCAGTATTCAGAAACGTCCCTTAATCCTAGTGGAATGAGGTTTACAGAGATGTCAGAATAGTGAGCCCATTATATTTCGAAATAACAGGCTTGTTTCAAAGATGCGGAATAGCTATTTTGGGGAACCAGAAGTGTCCTGAAATAGCGCCACAGTGCAGACGTACCCATAATGTGCACATGCTATCTTGATTTAGAGCCTCAGGGGGCACTAGGGAGTAATTACTTTGAATGGCCCTGGAGAGGAGCTATTTCAAAATAGCAGCAGTGGAGCATCCACACTACTGCTATTCTGAAATAGCTATTTTGGAATAAATGTTATTCCTCATGGAATGAGGTTTACAGATTTTGAAATAAGCCATCCATTATTTTCAAATTATTTCAAAATAACGGAATTGCTGTCTAGAGGTTTGCATTGTTATTTTGAAATAACGTCAGTTATTTCAAAATAACTGTGCCGTATAGATGTACCGTATCAGAAACTTTGAGCTAAAGACTCTTTTTCTATATAAAGAAAAATGATTTTCCTTAGGTTTGAACTTTTGAGGTGGGAAGCCTTATAAATGTGGCACAATAGGTCAGCCTAGAGACTTAAGCAAGCCTAGAAATCTAAGATGCTTTGATTTTATTTAGAATAGTGATAGAAATGTAGCCGTGTTAGTCTGGGGTAGCTGAAGCAAAATACAGGACTATGTAGCACTTTAAAGACTAACAAGATGGTTTATTAGATGATGAGCTTTCGTGGGCCAGACCCACTTCCTCAGATCAAATAGTGGAAGAAAATAGTCACAACCATATATACCAAAGGATACAATTAAAAAAAATGAACACATATGAAAAGGACAAATCACATTTCAGAACAAGAGGGGGATGCGGGGGGGGGAGGGGGAGGGGGAGGAAGGAAGGTAAGTGTCTGTGAATTGACGATATTAGAGGTGGGGAGAGTGGGATGTTTGTGAGTTAATGGTATTGGAGGTGATTTTATTTAGGCATATTTGAAAATTTTCCCAGTCATTGCCTGAAATAGTCTGTTTAATTCACTGACTACAGATAATCCCTCTGTTTAATAAATAACTTAGCTATAAACATGAAATGTGTACTGGATACATTAACTTCTGTTATCAAAACATTTAATGTTTTGTTTAATACATATGACTTTTATATGCCATTTTACATGTTTGTTTAAATTCCAGTTCCCACACTAATGTAGTCTGGGACAGATCACGAGTTAAAAGTTAATTAACTAGTACACAAGCAATATGTCATTCACCATTTTCTAGAATACTAAAACATACAATAAGAATTTGAAGCTATTTATATAATTGCATAAATACATTTATATAGTTATCATGTATCCTCTATTTAGTTGTAAATCAACATACTGAATGTTTATATCAACCAATGAGTATGTGTAACCCATGCACCTAATAGGGAACTATCTCTTTAAGAGGCCCCTATTGGGGAGGTAAGAGTGAGTTGAGCATTACTGTTGCTGGGCAGATTAGCACTTCACATCCAGAAGTTTCTGGAGTTGGGGGCGTAGTTTGGGGTCAGACTTTATGAGCAAGCAGGCAGGGCAGATGCTTTTCTAAGGCCTGTGTGAGCTGGAAGAAGCTAAGCCAGGCGCAGAGAACTGGCTGCTGTTCCTCACTCTGCAGCACTTTGCAGCCGGTAGTGCTGTTGTGAACCCTCCACCAGGGATCATGGGCAATGCTACTTGGAGGTAGGAGAACCTAGGAGGGGAAATAACTTCTGTGTTAATTGTCTGCTTTAAATGCTGTTTTGATTTTAGCCAAACTGTTCTAGTTCACTTTCTCATTTAGGCCGTGTCCAGACTCAGGGGTTTTTTCGGGAAAAGTAGCCTTTTCCCGAAAAAACTTCCCCTGCATCCAGACTCAAGCCGCGTTCTTTCGAAATTATTTCGAAAGAACGCGGCTTTTCTTTCGACAGCGGTAAACCTCATTTCACGAGGAAGAACGCCTTCTTTCGAAAGTTCCTCTTTCGAAAGAAGGCGTTCTTCAATGTAAAGAGGCCGTCTTCGAAAGAGAGCATCCAGACTCGCTGGGTGCTCTCTTTTGAAAAAGCGGATTTCTCTTTCGAAAGATCCGCCTGCAGTCTAGACGCGATCTTTCGAAAGAGGCTCTTTCGAAAGATGCTTTCGAAAGAGCCTCTTTCGAAAGAAGCCTGCAGTCTAGACATAGCCTTAGTTGGATTCTTCAGCTCCTATGTATGGCTATGTCTAGACTGCAAGCTTCTTTCGAAAGAGAGCATCCACACCTCAAAAGGATTGAAAAAGTGATCCGCTGTTTCCAAAGAGTGTGTCCAGACTGCTAGGATGCTTTCTCACAAAAAGGGCACCTGGAACCACTTATGGCAGGTCATGAGGGCAGCATTTAAGTTTCGGTGCTGCTGCATGAGGCTTGCAGAGACACATGCTTAAAGGGACCCCCTGGACAGCCCTTTCTTTGCTCCTGCTGCTTGCTTGCCTACCTGAGTGAGGGACAGCAAAGCTTTTGCAGTGTGTGCTTTGGTTGCCCAGCTTTCTTGGAGGCCACGGCATTTTGGTTTTTTATTTGTTTTTCTGGGTTTTTTTTTGTTTTGCCATGGAGCCAGCGTAGCCCCTGGGCAGCTTCTGCAGCACTTTCATCATACCATGATGACGGTCCTGCCCCTTCTGGCCTTAGACCTCAACCTCGAGACCCTTGACCTGGGGGATTTTGATAGCAGCCTTCAACTTCCTGAAGGGAGGTTCCAAAGAGGCTGGAGAAAGGCTGTTTTCAGTGATGACGCATGGCAGAACAAGGAGCAATGGTCTCAAGTTGTGGTGGAAGAGGTCCAGGTTGGATATTAGGAAAAACTATTTCACTAGGAGGGTGGTGAAGCACTGGAATGGGTTACCTAGGGAAGTAGTGGAGTCTCCATCCCTAGAGGTGTTTAAGTCTCGGCTTGACAAAGCCCTGGCTGGGTTGATTTAGTTGGGATTGGTCCTGCCTTGGGCAGGGGTCTGGACTTGATGACCTTCTGAGGTCTCTATGATTCTATGATTGAAAGTTTATTACTCCCAGTGTTGAAGATGGTGTTAGGAGCTGGTAACAAGGCATCCACTGCAGAATGCTTTGATATTTTAGAGAAAGCATATGGAAGTGTCATAAGTGCATCTGAGCTTAAGGATCAATTTTCGGAGACACACCCGCACATTAGAGAGCCACCTCCTCCATACCTTACTCGACTACATGCATTAGTCCAAGAAATTTTGGAGGCTGGTGGGGTAAAAGATACTGAATTGTACTCTTACATACAAGATCAATTTTTCCATGGCTGTTGGCATGAATCCTTATTAAATATGCTCTTAATAAAAGGAATTAATTGCACTGGTAGAAAAAAGAGCATCTCTTATGCCATACTCCTTTTTGAGATGAGATCCATTGAAAGACAGTATTGTGATAAATAAGAGAAAACTTTAACAAGAACTAGAGGAAAAGGGAAGGCCATTAAGTAGGAGTAGCTTACAATTGGTAAAGGCATCTGAAATTACTTGCAGTGCCAATGAAGAAGTTACTTCAATAGACTGGAAGGAAAAATATCTGCAGGCTGAGCAGCAGTTGGTGGGACTGCAGTTGACCCAACCAACTTCTGAAATGTCCATTTCAGACAAATGATTTACTCCTCTAAGACCAAAAGAATAATAAACGAGTAATAACAAATTTTAACAGAAGAAATCCTTTATGTTTTAACTGGGGAAAAAGGGATATTTGAAATTGAATGTGAGAATTCTCCTAACCCCAAACTAGTACATCAGCAATTGACTGGTAGACGTTCAAATCAGAACAAATGTGAGCCAGGAAGAAAATAAACTAACAACTCTCAGAGCCAGGCTGCTAGTCGGTGGGTTCAGGAGACAGGATACCCAAAAGGGTGTCAGTGAGGCCATCCGGCAGTTAGTAGGACCTGCTTGTCATGGCTATGTTTATCTAGATGGAGTAAAGAGTACCTGCCTGATAGATACTGGTTCTCAAGTGACATGCTTATGTGAAACTTTCTATTATGACCATTTATCTCATCAAAAGTTAGTCAATTGGCAGTGTACTTCAGATAGAAGGGGCTGGAGGGCAAATGGTTCCATACCTGGAATATATTACTGAAGATGCAATTCCCAAAGTTCACCTGTGGGACTGACAAACAACATGAGGTACTAGCCTTGGTATGTCCAGATCAATGTCTGAATCAACAAGTGTCAGCACTCATAGGCACCAATGAGTGGGCTGAAACGTAGTCAATTTTTACTCAGAGGTTTCAAAAAGAAGCTGATGAAGGGATTGAAGTGGTTTTAATAGGAAGATGATCAGTGCAAATTCCACCTGGTACATCCAAAACAGTGCACTTGCACCTGGTGGGCTAGCAGTTCCCCCTTGTGACGGGCTAGCCTTGTCCCCCTTTCCGCATTTGGGCAGTCTCCTTCAGCATGCGCAGAAAGCCGGCGGCTGCATTTAAATGCAGCACCGGCTCAGCTGGGGAGGAGGAACGCCAGCACCATAGGGGGAGGAGCCGGGGACGCCACGGCAAGGTTGCGGGCGGCCACGACCCAAGGGCGGAGGAGAGGGGCCCATCTGGAGCCGGTGGCACCCGTGCCAGTGCGGAGGGGAATGCCATACACGCGACGGAGGCCGACGCCGATCCTGAGCCCAAACCCGAAGGCACCGAACGCACGGAGGACCGAGCAGAGGAGGGCCGGGACTGGAAAACCAACCCAGAAAGTGCCTGAAGCCTCCGAGGTCCCGAGGAGTCCCACTACGCGGCAGACTCGCCGAACCCTCCAGTCCGTGGAACCGGGAAGAGACGCCAGAAGGACCAGTGCCGCCTTGGGAACTGCAGCCCCGCAGACACAGCCTCTAGTGGAGGTAGGAAGGAGACCCAGGACGGGGGTGCGCTGGCACGGCTGGCCGGCAACAACCCCGAGAGGGGTGGTGAGGAGACGATGACACAGTCCTCGCCATACGGGTAAGGGCCAGGTGGCCTACCCTTAGGGTCCTGGGGCCGGGGCTCGGGAGCGCGGGAGGGCCCGAGCACCCCTACGCCACACCTGTGGGCTCAGGCCACTAGGGCTGTGTCTAGACTACATGCCTCTGTCGGATTACTGCAGCCTGGTGTTGACTGATTGCCAAAACCATGCTGTGGTGCCTTCCTGTTTCATTAGCATAACACCGTCAAAGCTGCAGCAAGCTTTAGATATTATGTAGCTCATTTGTACAGCTTGCCTCCACACGTGTGGGGATTTTTTTTTAATAAAAAAACATCGCCTCTTTCAGATTTACATGTTTGATCAAGCATAAGACTGAATTCTCTTCTTTTTCAGGGAGCAGATAATAGGTAGAGCTATCCATCCATCTATTTTGTTACACGCTTCTTGGCTGGGCAGCTTATTTGTTGCTACTAAACCATGTTCATTCCCACTGACATTTAAAGGGCCATTATATGATTACTGTCACAGTTTAATACCCAGTTTCTGAAACCAATTCCCTCACCCCAGATGATGGATTCACGTTTATGTCACTGTAATTTGTTTTTCCTCAGCTGTGTATGCTGCATACTGGCAAAATGCTTTTACTGTCAAAGGCAGTTTTCTGCGGGACCTGGCCCGCAGGGCTAAGTTATAACTGCACTGCTTTAGGCAAATAGGAGCTTCCCTCTCTTTCAATAGCTTTAGCAAAACAAAATAACAGAACTTTTGAGAGTCCTAATTGCATTTTGGAGCCACCTCTCCTCCCCCTTTGAGTCACTGTCAAAACAAAACATTAAACATGATAGTCCAGGATATTGCAATTCAGTGGCTACGTGCATACAGATTATTAGCTATCACAGCTGCTTAACCACCCGTCTACAGAGCACAGACTAGAACTAATCATGCCCGTCTGTTCTCCACACAGAATACCACTTGAATGCAGAAAACAAGAGCCAAGCTATTCTGGGAGGACCTGTATGAAGCTCCTATCTGCTTTGCTGACCAGACAGAGAGGGCAACAACCACACATCTTTGAGGAAGTCTGATGGCAGTGCACAGTTTGACAGCATGGGACATGCTGAGGGGAGAAATTCACACTACTTTTGCTCTTTTGGGTAATATTGATTATTAATTTGGCTCCTCAACAGTGTTTTTAAGAAAGGATTGCTAGGTCAGCCTTGAAGATTGGCTGCCAATGACAGTGTAGGAATTTGACTGGAACATAGGTTCAAGAAGGACTGTGAGATGCTCTATAATACTATTTAGCACTTCTCATCCAAGGATCTTAATGTGCTTCGCAAGGAAAGGTGAAGTGTGACACTGCAGCCCCATACTTTTATGGAAACAGGTTTTTAAATATGAATACATATAACTCAAATAGGTTTTATGCAAACCTGGGCAACTATCTTATCATTGAAGAGCTTGTAATCCCCTGAATGAGTATATTCTATTTGTGTTCATGTATCATTCTGGTATGTGAAATTAGAAATATTAAGTGGAAATCGTTTTATTAATCTAAGGGTACATCTACATTGCAGGGCTCAATTTGAAATAAGCTATGCAAATTGAGCTATGTCAATTGCATATCTCATTAGCTTATTTCAAAATAGGGAGTGTTTACACAGCACTTACTTCAAAATAGAGCACTCTTCCTCCAACTTCCCTTATTCATGCAATGATGATTACAGGAGTTGGAGTAAGAAGTCCTCCAGCTTCGTAGTATTTTGACACATTTCAAAATGACTGCCTGCTGTGTAGATGTGGACTAAATTATTTTGGAATAGCACTAGTTATTTCAAAATAGTGTTGCAGTGTAGATGTACCCTAGGTCTTCTAGTGAAAGCCATTAGTGGCACTTAATGAACTTAATGGCTCTGTAATGGGGGTGGCTGTCCCACTAGGGCCTGAAAGGGTTAAAGCAGGTTGGAAGGAGCTTGCACAGAGCCCTGGCTTAGAAGGGCTTAGAAGGATCCAATAAGAAGGCAGTTTGCTGGGGCAGCTCTGATTAGAAGAAGCTTGTAGCCCGTTGGGGTCCTGGCGGGCTCTTCCCTCCTGGGTCAGTGGGTGCCCAGTCTGCCGAAGCCCAAGCACAGACAATAGTTTCAGAGCTCAGGCCCCGGTGCAGAGCAGGGCAGCAAACAACCAGTCCCAGGTCTCCTGGCTTAGGCAGAGGTCCAGGGCAAGCAGGCGGCTCTCAACGTGGGGAGATCGACATCTGGAGGACGCAGGCCAGCCCACTCCACTGTGTCCCAGCCGGGGGCCCTAGCAGCAGCAGAGCAGTCTGCTTCCTGGTCAGTAGTGATCCAGACTTCAACGTGCTGAGCACTGCTGTGGCCCAGCTAAACTGTGGCCACCTACCCCATGGCTACTTCCATTCCCCCCTGCATGGGTACCTGGGTCTCCAGCAGGTCTGCTGGATGGTTGGGGCATGTCAGTTATGGGAAATTTGTTGACCCGGGTAAGTCCTCAGCCTCTGGCAAATGTGGGGGTCCAGGCCAGTCTTCAGCGTTCTAGCCTGGGAGCACAGGGCAGACAGCCTCCTCCACTGGCTGTGTCCCGACTGAGCTCCAGGTCTGGCCTTTTATCATCCTGGCCACACCTCCTGACTTCTGGTCAGGTGAAGGGGTGGGATCAAGCTCTGCCCAAAAGGGCTCCTGGAGGAACTTTTCTTCTTCTGGGTCCGGGAGTGCCCCTTCAGCACCCGGCTGCAGCAGAAGGAGGAGGGTAGCTGCTCCTTTCCTTCCTGTGCTCCAGAGCACCCTCCCTTCCTCTCTCTCCAGTCCTGCTGTTGCTCCTGCTTCCTGGAGCCCTCTCTGGCCAGCTCTCTCCTGTGGCTGCCTACCTGCTTGCCTTCTGTTCCTGGGCCTCTCCCTCCTAAGACTGCTGCCACCACCCACAGCTTGCTGCCCCCCCCCCCCCCCCTTCCAGGAGGAGAGGTGAAGAGGACCCACTACCACCAGCATACACCACCCGGAGGTCCTTCCTTTGTGGGCTGCTACCCGCCTGCTGCTGCTACAGCACCTGTGCCCCGTCGAGGAGGAGGACCACCACTTGGACTGTGGAGGGGCTTTGTTTGTTGAGACTGAGCCTTTACCATGTCCCCAGGAGCACAGATGTTAAACTGAGTTGCTGTGAGGGGGGCTAAGGGAGAGGCACAGAGCCCTCCCCACAGTCTAGTTGCCCCCTCTATTTATATTGCCACAACCCCCTCCACCATCCTCCGTTAACACCAGCACCAGCTCTTTGCCCCTCGGTGGGGCTAGCTGCCCCCTTTCCACCTGAGACTGTTTGTGCAGCAGTGGGTGAGAGACTGAGCCCCATGAGTGCTTGTGGGTGCATTCCCTCCCTTAGACTTGGCCCCCCTCCCTCAGCTATGTTTGGCTGGGGGGCCTCCTCCACCCTCTACTCCCCCATTGGTCCCCTATTACAGCAGCTGGCTTCCCTGTTGCCTTCCCCGCCCTAGCAGCCCCGTTTGTTTTTCCTTCCCACCCTGCCATAGCCCTCCCTGAGACTCAGTTTGTTGCCTTCCCCACCCTGCCCCTGAAAGTTTGTTTGTTTGCTGACCCAATTCCACGCAGTTCCCTGGTCTGCCCCTCCCACACCACTGGTCAGTTTGCTGTTAGCCCTGTCCTCTGAGCCTCTGCCCTCCTTAGTGCCCTACCAATCCTAGGCCTCCACTGCTCCTGCTTGCTCCCTCCCTCAGCCTCTCATTAGTTCCCTGCCTACTGCCCAGTGCACCCTGGCCTCCTCCTTGAGCACTCATGCCCCTTCCTTCCCCAGTTAGTTAGTGCCCCCCATTCACTGCACTCCCCTTGATGTTGCCATAGACACCCCCCCTTTCCCAGTGCAGCTGGCAGAGCTGGCACCCTCACCCTGCACCTGAAGCCTTGTTCCTGTCCTGTCCCACCAGCACCCTCCTTCACGGCCTCCCTTACAGGGAGACGTGGTTGCTGGCTTCCTTTTTCCTCTATTCCCAATCTGCGCCCCTCCTCCGCTAGTGCCCTCCCCCCTGCAAACAGTCTAGCAGGAGAGAGTGGTCCCTTTCCCTTTCCCTATCTTCTCCTACCTCCAATCACAAGTGGCTGCTTTCCCTCCCTTCCCAGCCGTGTCTCCCCTCGCCCCCCCATGCGCCCCTGCCTCTCTCTAGTACACTCCTCCTCTGCATCCAGCTAAGCAGGGAGGAGTGGTTGCTTTCCCTATTCCCCCTCCCCCAATCATGAACCCCCCTTCCCTCGCATCCCTGTCCCTTCCTCTAGCACCCTCCTTGCAGGGAGGAGTGGTTGCTTTCTGCACCTTCCCAGTTGTACCCCAACCCATGCACCCCTACTCCTCTCTCTAGCCCCCTCCTCCTCTCATCCAGCTAAGCAGGGAGGAGTTGTTGCTGCCCCTTCCTTTGGTTGCCCCTCCCTGAATGTGGTGCTCTCTTCCCCAGCCTTCAGTCTAGCGGGGAGGAGTGGTTGCTGCCCCTGTTCCCCATATTTCTTCTCCCGCACTCAGTACCCTCCTCCTGAGCCCCATTCCTATAGGGAGGAATGGTTAACCCATCTCCCTATCCCCTCCTACCCCTTCCCCTTCATTGACGCTCTCCATCCCCCTTGTGGAGTCCATCCCCAAGGAGGCCTAGGATGGAGCTCCCCTGGCCCCTCTACCATCTGTGTCCCCCGCTGTCACTGCTGAGGTAATTGCTGCCTTGGCGGCTGGCGGGGAGGGCTCTGGGGATGGACTTCAGCTCCATGTTCGAGGAAATCAAGGACCTGGGTCTGACCCTAGTAGTTCAGGAGTAGAACAACCCTTTGCCAACGGGTCTCGGTCTGTACGGCGACTCAGTTGCGCTGCCTTCTCCTCCTCCTTCTCCTTCTCCCTCTGCCTTGTCCCAGGTGGACTCTCCTATCCTCACCTTTGGGGCACCCCTAATACTGCCCATTTGGCCCAGCCACCATAGGCACCGAGTCCTTAGGGGCAAAAGTTGATGCCAAGCAGCCAGGTCCTGGGCTTGTGGGTGCCCCCTCCACCTCTGAGGTGGAGCAGTCGCCTTCCCTCCCTGCTGGGTGCCCAGCAATTGATACCGTTGTAACCAACACCGTGGCTTTGGACAAAAGCTCCACCCAGCCACCCGAGTCCAGTGTTGGTGTCAGCCCTCTCCCTGCCTCCATCCCCTCGGTCCGCAGCCCCATTTAGGAGGTGCCGCAGCCCGGTGGCCCAGACCTGGGGGACTGTCCCGTTGCCCTTTCCCTGTCCCGATCCTTGCCTTGTTCCCATCCATACCCCAGGGTCCTGACCCCACCCTTATTCAGGTCCTGAGCCCAACCCACCCCCATTCCTAGTCCCGCTCCCACCATTACCCTCATTTCCACTCCTGTTCCCGGCCCGATGTCCGACCCTAACCCTATTCCTGTTTCCATCCCCACTGCGATGTCTGTTCCCCCTCCACCAATCCCACTGATATTGCCACCCCCATGGGGGTGTCTTGTTCCCACTATCTGTGAGTGGCCTTCCCTACCCTGACCAGGAAGCACGGCATCCACTGCCTCCTGGTCCCCACTTCACCCCGTATGGAAACATACGTGTGGGCATTGGCAAGGGTGGTGGGGTCCCCAGCTGTAGTGGTGGTGTCCAAGATGTACAGCAGGGTGGTATTCTATCTTGCCTTGGAGGCTGCCATCCAGGAGGCGGTGGAGAGGGGCTTGCATGTGCTCCTCAAGTCGCTAGAGAACCTGGGTGTACAGGTGGGCCTTCCTTCCTTCCTTCCTGCCCAATGCTGCCCTGTTGCCTGCCTTCTCCACCCTGGGGAAACCTATTTCCACTGTCAGCCCTCTTCCATTGGGCTGCAAGGGCCCTGCCTTTCATCACGTTTTGTCATTCTGCTGCAAGGTACAGCTGCAGATGATGCTGGCAGTACATGGTGGGGAGGGATGGAGGGGTCCTTTTTGGTGCCTTACCCGGGGGCCCTTTACTGAATCCATTACTCCTCGTGGGAGACCTAGTGTTTCTTCTGCTGAGCGACAGGGCATGTTCGGAAGGGCTGCCCCCTCGTCCAGTCTGAAGAGGCATCCAGGCCCCCCAGGACCTGGGAGAATGCTATCCCCAACACCGCCAGCCCCCCTGGTAGTCCGGCCTTCATGGCTGCCCCTCCTTCTATTGCCAACGGCTCTGTTGCAGTGCCAAGGGCTCCCCCCTGGCATGTCCTGGCGAGCTGCAGGACCCCGCCTCTGTCCAACCTGATTTAGCGGGGCCTGAGGTGAAGAGGCTGGCACAGTTGCTGCTGGGCGAGGGAGAGAGCTTACCCTAAGGGAGGTTTCCCTGCCCCCCGTTGTTCCTCCCTTGCCTCCTCGAACTGCCCCCCCCAGTACCACCTGCACCCCCTGGCCCTGCTCCCACTGACCAGCCCTCTGCCTCTGTCTTGGAGGGCTGGACACTTTTTCAGGGGAAGTGCAGAGCCCATGGTTTGTGGTGTCAATCTCCCCACTCTGTTGAGGACGGTGGGAAGGCCCTCCGCAAAATATTGAGGGGGGCCACCTCTGCTGACATCATCCCCGAAGAGTGTCAGCCAGAGCTGCCGGCTGAGAAAGTCCAGGCAGTGGAGGGGGAAGCTTCCATCCCCCTTGTGGAGTCCATCCCCGAGGAGGCCTAGGATGGAGCTCCCCTGGCCCCTCTACCATCTGTGCCCCCCGTCGCCACTGCTGAGGCTATTTTTGCCTTAGTGTCCGACGGGGATGGCTCTGGTGCAGTGGAGATGGACTTTAGCTCCATCTTTGAGGAGATCGAGGCCCTGGGTCTGACCCCAGCAATTCTGGGGGAGGATGACCCATTGCCAGCGGGCCTCGGTCTAGGCAACGACTCAGTTGTGCTCCCTCTTCCCCCACACGGCCCAGGTGGCCACCTCCACTCTAACCCTCGGTGCACCCCTGATATTACCTGTTGGCCTGGCCAAAACAGAAGCTTTGTCTGAGGCTGCCAAGCTCCTAGGGGCAAGGGCTGGCACTGAGCTGCCAGGTCCCGGGGCAGATAGCAACCCTTCCATCTTAAAGGTGGAGCAGTTATTTTCCTTTCCCATTGGGGGCCTGCCAATGGTTGCTATTCTGGTTGATGCCGCAGGCTTGGACATTAAGGCCAACTAGATATCTGATCCCAGCGTTGGTGTGGGCCCCCTTCCCACCACCATCCCCTTGTTCCCAGATCCCATCTGGGAGGTGCCACGCTCCGGTGGCCCAGACACGGGGAAATGTACCCTCACCTCATACCTTAACCTTGATCTCACTCCCTGTCCTGGTCCCTCCACTGCTCCTGCCCCTATCCTTGGTCCCAATCCCACCCCTGCTCGCTTGTCTAACTTGATGAGGGACAGCAAAGCAGTCCTGGCTTGGAGTGCCCTGAATGCCCACACTCGGCACATCACAGCACTCGGCCATCAGCCCGGCTGCACTTGCCGCAGGCTGCCATCCATTATTCGCAAACGACAACAAGCGACACACAATCTTAGCCGCGCTGAACACCATGCCATCCAGAGTCTCAAAAACAACCTGGACATTGTAATCAAACCAGCTGACAAAGGGGGTGCTGTGGTCATTATGAATAAGGCCGACTATAACCAGGAGGCAACCAGACAACTCTCGAACACCACATTTTACAAACCTCTCCCCTCTGATCCCACCTTGGACTACCAAAAGAAACTACACTGTCTCCTTAAAAGCCTCCCCACAGCTACTCGGGAACAAATCCTCACAGAATCACCTTCTGACCCCCGACCAGGATTGTTCTATCTACTTCCCAAGATCCATAAACCTGGGCACCCCGGACGTCCCATCATCTCTGGTATTGGCACGCTCACTACTGGTCTATCCAGCTATGTAGACACTCTTCTCAAACCCTTCGTAACCAATACCCCCAGCTATC